ACAAAGACAAAAACACCCACCAGCAAAACAGATTATTGATGGATCAGTGAACTGAAACTAAATCAGATATTTTCTGATTGAAAACCATTTTGTCAATTTGTTCTTTAAAGAAAGACTCTGCAGGATTTGTTCTGCAGTGAATTCATGTGACAAACAGGAAGAAGAGCCTCAGGTGTGTCTCTACCTGCAGCTCAGAGTCCAAAGTCTGCATCATCAGCAGTTTATGCTCCCATTTACTGATTGATGAACAGCAGCTCATTGATCAGTTCACAGAATCAAACAGTAAATTCTCTGACTGATCTGAGGAATAAAATCAGTTCAAATTTCTCCTTCTGAAACGGAAAATGCTGCTGATTCATGCAGCAGGAATCCTGAAGGCCGAGGAGGCTCCTCCTCTGTAACATGATGAACTGCACTGAGAGAAAAAGTGCGTCAGTGCTTCACATTTGTAATTAAAAGCAAACAGCAGCAGCAGACTGGGTGGACTGGTTCCCACTGCAAGCCTCAGATCACCACCAGCAGCTGCTCCTTAGAAACCTGCTCTGTTGTGGACTAAGATCCACGCAGCCCCTACAGAAACAGTCCACTTCTAAAGCCCCTGTCCTAGAATGCAGACAGCAGCTGGACTGAGTCAGAGCTGTCAGGGTGCAGATGAGGACAACGAGCCTCCAACAGGCTCCAGCAGCCACGCACCAAACTTTTGTTAGAGTCGAGATTTGGCTCAATAAAAAGTTATTAAAGCGAATCAAATTGTGAGCCGAATTAAAGTTCAGATAGCTTCTGTTCAGAAATCATCTTTACTAAATTTCTATCGAGCAGACTTTATTTCTAATGAATGCGGAAGTCTTAAATGCACAGATTTCCGAGCGGAGTTCTGCTGACGCCGCAGGGGGCGGCAGCTGCGGCTCTTACCTGGTCCCTGTGCGGCTCGGCGGGCAGCAGGAAGCGCAGTGTCCGCTCCGGGGTAAGCCGCTGGGATTTTCTATGAATATAACAAAGAGTGGAGCTGGACGGTAAGTGACGGGGCGGTTCCTGATCCCGGAACGAGCACCGGAGTCACGTGGTTTACCGAGTTTGACTGCTGCAGAGCGGAGCTGCGTCACGGCGACGGTCAGGTGACCAGGTGGCTCCGCTCTTATAAACATGTAAATAAGTCCTAAGTTAGTATCGGAAATCTATCCTGGTCATTTAGTTTATGACAACTGATTTGGACTTTAGCATTTAGTTTGGCTTTTAGTTAAAGGTTTGACTTTTCATCTCATGATTTAATATCAGTGACTCTAAATGTGTGACTCCGTTAATATAAAGTCACTTTTGTTTCATAAATTCATTAAAAAAAAATAATAAAAAATAATACTTTGACTTTCTGAGTCACAATTTGGACACAGTCTCATATTTATGACTTTTATCTCATAAACATTTTTCATTATCAGAAACTCGACAGCAGGAAGAAGAGTTTATAATTTACATTTTAAAAAAACTTTTTTTTTTTTTTTTACATAATTTTGACATCGTGAGTAAAAACTTGGAACTCATAATCTATTGGCTCATAACTTTACAATAAACTGGACTTTTCACCTCATAATTTCATATCAGGAACTCTAAATAAGTCTAAGTCCCAGTTTAGTATCAGAAATTTTACATTACAAACTGAGTTTACCACAAATGATTTGGACTTTTTATTTCAAAATTAACATGTTTTATTTACACCATATTTTTTTATTTTTGCTGACTTTTTTTTTTTTTTTTTAAACTGCGATTTTGCTACATATTATCTATTATCTAAAAACACAGGGGAAATTATAAATTATTGAATTTCCCTTCTGGGATAAATAAAGTATTTTTCATTTCATAAAACTTAAATATTAATAATTTCTCAGTCCCCAATATACTTTTTTTTTTTTTTTTTAAATGAAATAGTGGTAATAGCTGTAAAATAATTCTATTCTTTGCTGATTGAAACAGAGTAAAACTGTTTAATTTTACAGTCACACATTGTAGAATAAAAAAAGAATTGCCTTTTATAAAAAGATTTTTGTTGTGAACATTTTTTTTTACAGAATTTCCATTTTTTTATGGTTAGAATCTTAATTATTCAATTGTGTTTTTGACCAGGTATTATGTGTATTTGAATAAAACAGGGAAAACAATAAAACAACTACAGGTACTGCAGTCATATGTATTATTTTCTCAATATTCACTGTGAGGTTTGTTCCAAGCTGTGATTTTACACAGATAAGACCTCGGTGATGGCGCCCTCCGCCCGACAACACTGATATCTATTTACTTTATTTATTTAGAATACTTTATTTTTAAAGCAGCAGTTCAGTAAATGTTCTAACACAGTATATTAATCTGGCTGTCTCTTTGTTTTAAGTTAGAAGTCTGCTTGATTTGGGTGACAAACAGACTTCTTGCAACCACAAACACAACATTAAAAATCAGAAGCCTCACTGACACACACACTGCAGGGTTACCAGTCTTTATCACAGATGGAACATGTTCAGACGGAGCTATGGCATGCTAAATACAGAAATTCATCCATACGCTGCAGGCTGGACACAAAAATATCATCTCATAAACATCTTACAGGAACAAAGTGGAGAACGTTTTAAAGGAAATGTCTGAAAATATCTGAGGAGAATCTGTACAGGCCTTTGGTTGAGTATGTGCTCCTGTATATACCTCTAGTGTACAATATACATATTTAGATAACTCTAATTTAAATACTAATTTGGCTAAAATGAATATCAAAAAATAGTATGTATATAAGCGTCATGCTGAACATGCTTTCTCTTCCCTTTTGTAGAAATTTTACAGGTTTTGTTGTAGCTTCATAAACACACGTACGAGTAGAAAAGGTCAGTTTTCAACAACACAAACAGAAACCTACACGTGGTTAAAACCGCTCGATAGAAAATAGATTTCTTTAAATATTACAAAGGTAAAATTTGAAATGGTCAGACGCCGAGAATAAACAGCTGAAGAGGAAATGATGCCGCCCGGGTTCTGCTCCAGCAACAAGAAAACAGTGAAAATGTGTATTGGCAGTTAAAGTGAATCACCAGAAAACTAAGTCTGCATGTAAATAAAGTGATATTTATAATGTACTCTGTTGCCTGCAACCAAAAGTTTACATTTATTAGACATAAATGCATAAAGTGACATTTTTTTGGCCACTGGAGGGCAGCAGAAACAAGTTGAAGTAGTAAATACAAGAATGACTGGACTGTTTGTGACTCTACATCTGGTCTTCGTGCTCTTTTTGCTCTGTTTTTGGTCTCCACCTGCTCCTCAGAGAAATATCTGGCTCTTGTCTGGAAACACTGAACCTGAACCACAAAGGAAATGTTCTTTAGACCAAAACTAGGAGCTAAAAGAGGCTCGACAGTAGTAAAAGCAACATTGACAGGTTTTGTGGTCACCTGATGAATCAATAACCAATCTTCACTCTCTTTTGGCTCCGTTTTTGTTCTCCACCAGCTCCTGAAGTAAATATTTGACTCTTTAGCTGCTTTTTTAAACACTTGGCTGGAACCAGGTTCACAAAGTTTCAACTTTTTTTCCAAAACTACTGAGTGAGTCATCTTTTTCTGTGTATCACTCTGGTCTCAACACTAAATTCAGGCCTTTTATCAACAGTGCTGGTGCTCGGTTAGAAAAATTATTGCTTTGTTCATAAAATGTCAAGGCTTATAAAAGGCCTGAAGTTCCTACAATAACAAGAAACTCACAGGATACTGCTGGTAGTGTTTCAACTGACCGACTCCGTCAGCACAATGTAGCTAAAGTAGCTAACATTAGCCTGTGTATGGACCAGTTGGTGTTTGGCTAGGAGGTAGCGTGGAAAGTTTTCGGAGTGTGAAAGGAGAAAACCCTGATCTTGAAGGATCTGACTCTAATTTTAAAAGTTGGCGGAAACCAGAAGTCACAAGTCAAATTGGCTCCAATTAAAATCAATGTAATCTCTAAATGACAACAACTAATATTAAACTCTGTAGTAGGTCCACGTTTGTCAGGAACATGCTTGACTTTCTCACCAATATGGAAAAACTCCTCAGTGTGATTGCTTTGAAGCTGCTGGAACAGAAGCTGGACAGCAGGTGGCGGCAGGACTTCAGCTCTTTATAATATAAAAACATAAAACTTCATGTTACAATATTAGTGTTTAACAGTAATATAACAAACTGCTCAGGAGTTTCTCCTCACAGTGGACCGCTCCAACATTTGTGTCCTTGTTTGTTTCATGTTCGACACCAAAAGGTTTGTGCTGCACCGACTTGGAAATCAGATTCAGCTGCCGGTTAGAAATGTGAGCAAAGGACCCAGTTTACGTTTAGGAAGTACAGTGGAGATTAAGTGCTGGTGTTCAGGCGAGTGTTTGACTGCAGCTCCTCCGACTGTGCAGGTTAAAACACTGATGGGGATATCCCTCCGTTAATCCCCTTTTCCTCTTTCCATTCCTGAGGTTGAATGTGGATATTATGTTTATTTTATAGGACATCTTCAGTCCAACATGGCGTCCAGCTGGTCGGCGAGGTCATCGAACATGTTGCCAATGTCGTCTAGAATGGTCCCTGCAGACTTTACTGTGCTCGCTCCGCTAAAACGATGAGACACAAGAAATATACATTACACACAATACAAAATATAAACATGATGCAAATCCAAGTGGAGATTTTAACCTGGAGGTGGCGCTGTACAATCAGGGCGTCACAAAAAAACGGTGGTATCCTCTGGGTAGGCCAGCTAGTAGGAATAATGGTCAGGAAGACCAAGTTCTTCACATTGGTCCCCCCATCAATTTGTTGTACTTGATTCTATTTAAGGTTCAACAACAGACCTTGGAATGGTCCCCCCCCTCCCCAAAGCCCTGGGCCGGGGTGATCTGTACCTGACCTCAGGGGCTATGAACATAAATACAAACTTAAATCTGAAAGATGGCTAATAACTTGTATGTGTGTAACTTGTGTGTATTTTGATGATGGTCTCACCCATCAGAGCCGTCCTCCAGGTTCAGTTTGCTCTCTACAGCCTTCAGAGCTGCTGCTAGAGACGTGCTGGTCTGATCCAGTCTCTGCTGGACCACCTCTGACTCCTCTGGTAGATGACCTGGACCCACAACGCATACCTGAGGTCTTGCCGCTGCCAGAGAGGGGCTCTGAGGGGCCGAAACTGAAGCTGGGGATCCGTGGGCAGGTGAGGACGGAGAGGCGAAGGCCACGCTTTGAACCACGCTGACAGTCACAGTAGGAGAGGAGGGTCCTGCAGAAGGAGACACATATGACAATGTGTAAATACCAGCCAGGGTCAATTCAAATCCAAAATCAAGACCAGCAAGTCCTGCACTAAGATCAGCACATTCCAAACCAAGACAGGCACATCCCAAACTAAAACCAGCAAATACTTAACCAAGATAAGCAAGTAATGAACCAAGACTAGCAAGTTTTAGACCTAGACTGGTAAATCCCAAACCAAGACCAGCAAGTTCTGAGACAAGATCCGCAAGTCCCAAACCCAGACAAGCGCATCCCAAGCTGATACCAGCAACTTCTAAACCAAGACCACCAGCTTTCAAGATCAGCAGGTTCCATCCGAGACCCACAAGTACAAAGTTATGAGAAGCAAGTCCGGAACCAAGATCAGCAAATCTTAAGTCAAGACAAGCAAGTCCTTAACCAAGACCAGTAAGACCCAAACCAAGACCAGCTGCTTCAAAGTCACAAGCAACAACTACACATTTATAAGCAACAAGTTCGTAGCCATCCAAGGCAGCCAAAACCTAAACAAAGACCAGCAAGTCCCAAAGATCCACAAGGCCTTAGTCAGGACAAGCAAGTCTCAAGTCATAAGCAACAAGCACAGACTCATGAGCAATGAATCAACAGCAAGCTAAATCCAAATGTAGAAAAATAAGTCCCAAGTCAGACTGAACTGTAGTTCCTAGTCTGGGTCAATAACTGCCTAGAAAACATGAAAGTCAAAACCAACAAGTAAAAGTTTTTCAACAGCAGTATGTCCCAGTCATAAGTCCGAGTCAGGGGAACGAGTCCCAAGACAAAAGCAACAAGTCTACAGTGAGAAAAGCAAGTTTTAAGTCAAGTACATTATCAGAAGTAACCTCCTCCCAAGTCAAGTTAGGTCAAGAACAACAAGTCCACAGTCAACAAACAAGGAGAATTTACATTTTTTTCTATGTTACAGTGACATACAGTATATACAGTGTAATTGTGAAGTGTAAGTATCTTACTCTGTGCAGCCAGCAGACTGTGGCGAACAGGTTTTGGGGCAACAGCAGGTTTGGGGGAAAGCGGAGGTTTGATGGGTGATCCTGTAGCTGGACTGGCTGGCCTCTCCAGACTGGCCTCACTGATCCTCAGACTGACCTCTCCCTGGCTCTGGGATGGAGGCCTGCTGCTGCCAGACTCGGACATGGTGCCCTCTCTGCAGGGGGAGCCTTCGCCCTGCTCTTTGTCTTTGGGTTTGTGTCGGCGCTTCACTGTGTCTGACTCTTTCAGGTTAAACTCTGGTACATCCAGATTCTTGGCTGCTTGTTTGTCCGGAGGCTCCAGCACAGCCTCAGCTCTGGGTGGACCAGGAGCTTTGGGTCTCTGTTTGATGGTCAGGTTGCCTTCCTCGGCAAAGGGGATGCATTCACTGGAGCTGTTCTGAGGGGACGAGGAGCCTTCCAGTCCACGACCTTTAGATTCTTCTTCTTCAGAGTCGGACTTCACCCCTCGGTCCAGCTCAGTGCTGCTGCCTGTCTGGGTGGGAGCACACTCACTCTGCACCCTTCTCCTTACCCCTGCTGCCTCTCTGGGCTCTGCAGAGCTTAGGTAAGGGGGCTCCTGCTGGATGAGGTCTGGTTTAGGTCCTGGTGGGTTCTTCTCCTCAGTGCCACTTTCCAGAGAAGCTGCGATGCTCCTCACACTCCCTGGACTGTCAGTTACCACCCCACCAGAGGACGACGTCGTGCTGCTGTCGCTCAGCTCGCCACTGGTAGTGCTGCTCACTGAGCTCAGTCTCTTTGGAGGAGGAGGTGGGGGACCCTTTTTCCTGGCACGCACTGCAAATGACTGACTACGTCCCACGTTGCCGTTTTTCTCTGGACTTGACTGCAATCGAGCCAACTGACTGCGGCCGGGCTTGCGGGTCAAAGTGGCATAGGACGGCACATTTCCAGGAGGAACTGCAAGCTCCTCGTCGTCCTCGTCAGGCTCTCCGTCTGACAGAGCATAACGAGTCATGCTCTGGGTGCGCTTCTTGGGTGGTGTCAGGGTCATGGTGTGGTTCTCTGGTCTTTGAGATGAGATGAGGTCTGTAGAACCACAGTGAGAATGCAGGTAGCTGAAACCCTTCAGCGCTGGGGAGCCATGAGGGGAGTTGCCACAAGATCCAGACAGTTTGGGCTTGGCTGGGATGGCCGGATACTTGAACACGGTGGCTGTACCCAGAGGCACCTGTTTGGGCAGAGGCTGCTGCTGCAGGGGCCGCTGGTCCCAGCCCTCAGGAAGGTTCCTCTCTTTGGCAGGGCTGCCTTCCAGGCTCTCCTGGGACCAACTGTGGGGGGTGATGGAGGCTGTAGGAGGCTCCTGGGAGCGACCGGAGCCTCTGGACCTGGTGTCGATACTCTCCTGGCTCTGAGACATCCCCACTGCATTCTTGATGGCCAAACCTTCCTCACAGCCTCCGTAGTGGCTCGACATGGCCGTCTGCAGCTCAGCGCTCAGCTCGCTGTCCTGGAAAGTCAGCATCTTTGGGGTGTGAGGTGAAGAACATTCACCGCCAGAGTCAGGTGGGTCAATGGCGACCAGGTGGAGGGCTCCTGGGCCTTTGCGTCGTAGCGTGCCCTGACCTGATTCAGCCTGAAGGATAGCCCTCTGGATGTCACACAGCTTCTTTACCGCCAACATCAGCTTTTTCTGGTGGCCTACAGGGAAAATTCAAACATCAGACCAAACATCCTAACAGTACTGAAAATGGTACAGAAATATCAAGCTCTAATGTGTCTTTACCGAGCTTGGTGATGCCGATCTCCTGCAGATCCTCCCATGTGAGGTCTTTGACGATGCTGATGGAGTCATAGCCATTCTCCGAGAGTTTCTTGTGGTACTGTGGAAGGCCGATGGCACTGAGCCACTCACCGAGATCAGACTAAGGGGCAAGGACACAAGGCAGATTAGATGGAAGTCAGTATGTTTGGCATTCATGCAGCAGCAGATGCATAAAACAGCAGCAAGTCTTACAGGGATGTACTCAGGCAGCCACTCAGGGATGCTCAGGTTGTTGATCTCAATAGAGATCTTCTTGCGGTGTCCTGGTTTGGTCACACCAATGGCAGTCAGATCCTGAAGACACAATAAGATATCAGAGAGTCTGTTAGGGTGTGAACTGCACACACAGTTGTTTACAGGCAGGATAAGACACCTCAACTTGACCCAAATTAACCATGAAATGCTAAATAAGCAACATGTTACTTCAGGGTACAGACTGACTTTTGATTGTGTCCAAAGGTTGACAGTAAATGTCTTTCAGTAAGTGTGACAACAAAGTCTAGTACTCCTGTATTTTAATACATCATCAGTGTGTGTGATGACTGTTTGTTCACCTCAGGAGTCATCCTGCTGATGGTCGGTACATCATATCCGGCATTCAGGAAGTTTCCGATGTACTGCTCCAACTGGAACTCGCTCAGCCACTGATAGATGGCCTCTGCATCCTAAAACACACAAGTGCAATGGATTTATTATTACTTTCAGCTACATCTTGTTGTATGTTGTTTCCTTTCTCATGCTACTTTTTGTCTGTTTTTGTGGCGTGGCTCCTCTCTGACTAGTAAAAAAGAAAACATATGTGGATTTGGGCTGATTTGAAAACCTTGATGGAAGTAGATTTAGGTGCTGAAGTGATTCATAAGGTATTTGTCTTAATTAAATTAGAAAATCTCAAATTCTCAAGAAATAAATATGGTGACACAACCAGGTTACAATGACTTCATATGCTGCTAATACGAGCTGTTTATGTTGACTGAGTTGGTGTGATGACACTCCACCAAGACTTTTTTTGATAAATGCAAGCTCACTTTACAGACGATTTGTCTTTAACTCTAAACTCTCTGAGACTCTTTGCATCTTTATGCAAACTGACAGCTCCTGGCGTTAAGTCTTCTGAGAGCTTGTGGTTTTTTGAAAGTCAAAATCCAAACCTTCAATCTGCTTTCACTGACTGAAATTGAACAAAACAGCGATTTTAAAGTTAAAATAGTTCAAATTGATAAAGCTCTGAGTAGATTCTACAAGTCCAAATTTCTAAATTGGACTTCAGTCACCAAGGTTTTCTATGAGTCAACTGCAGCCCTGGGACAAACGTGTGCTGCTTTTGGAGTTGTCTGGAAATATCTAAGCTGTTGTCACATATGAATAAAGGGATGAGTACAAGGAAGTAGACCCTGGTAGTTTTACATTTGAATAAATGTAAATTTTTGAGATGCAAGATAAGAACACAAAGCCAGCTTTACCTTCCCCTCCAGCAGCTGCTGAGGACGAACAAACTGCTGAGAGAAGCTCTGCTCTGCAGGCCTCTGAACCGTCACCGTCGGCCTCCGCGGAGTCCCACCTGGAAATAACAAAACACTTCAAAGTAACCAAATATTTGCCTGGAATATCTGATTTTCAGGTGTGTCATCAAAAATCTAACTTTGACACACTTGGAGCGACTCAGATTCAGTGATGATTTAAGTCCTATTGCGTAAAACATCTACCATGAGCTAAATGGGACAGAGGGTGACAAAGCTTCCTGCGTGTATCCTGTTTAAATAACAAATCAATAAAACTCCACAGTCTTATCTTGTATCAAGCACTGCAAAAACATTGGAGTAAACACAAGACTGTATTAGTATTAGTGTCCACATACATTTCAGTTTTCCCTAATTTCACACAGTATTTATTGACACGATAATATAAAAGATCGTGACAGAGGAACATACCTGTCGGTTGATCAGGCTGTTTGTTGAGGTCTGCTGAGTGTCCAGGATCGACAGCAGGGGGCGCCGCCTGCACACGAAACAAAAACAGAGTGAGCTCACAGGATTTAACTGAAGAGCAGCAGAAGAAATGAGCAGCACAGCATCATTTAAGTTATTTAAAATTCAGAAGACGTCTGAGTGGAAAACATTGGGGAAAAGTAGAACTTTAAAGCTGAATATTCTAGAAAGTGAGGTGAAATTCTGGCCATTTTATGTGTTATTTGAACAAAATGCTGCAGGAATAAGTGGATTTTTGGTCAATTAAATGTTGATTTATCCACATTGTTAGGCTGTGATTTTAAATCTAAGTCTAACTTAAAGTCTAACTTGTGTCTGGGATCATGAAACCTGTTCACTGCTTCTTTAAAGAAAATTAGTTTGTAGTTTGTAAAGGCTGTAAATTTTTAAATGGCTTAATATCTACAGTATGTATAGCCTCCTTTCTTTATGTAACACCTGTGGACACTTTAAAAAAATGTTGGAAATGTTCTTTTTGTTTATATTTGTAATAATGAAAGATATTAGACAGGATTTCTGTCATTCCAACTGTGTCATTCTGACAGAAGACATTTCTGAGTTCTCTCTCCTTCTTCGTGGCTGTTCTGTTTCCAGGACTTCATATAAAAAGTGAGCCCACAGTCAGGAAAAATGTGACAGGAGCAAAAAAAAAACACCTCAAAACTCCTCAGACGTCAAAGGGTTTAACCTACATTTACTGGAAACAGCGTTGTATCATCTCCTTTTGTTATTTTCACTGTTCTTGCTTCGTTTTTCTTTTTCTATGTGTCTCTGGGTAATTTTTGTCTGTTAATGTTGAATCTTTTCATGTCGCTTTTGCCTCTTTGTGTCACTCTGTGAACACTGTCTTCATGGTCTTTTTCCATAGAGGTGCAGGATTTTATATTGCAGTGAATAATGAGCCCACAGTCAAGAAAAATGTGACAGGAGGGAAAAAAACGCGAGGGTTAGAGGGTTAGAGGGTCAAGGTGCAGCTACAGGTTCTGTTTTCTCTGTGCCGGTTTTTCACCTGAAATTGTCAAACTGCTGCCGTGAAAAGAAGCCAAATGAGCATTTTTAGCAAACTTAAGCAACTTTAAAAAAAAACCTCAGACAAGTTCTGACTGGTGTGCTCTGACTTCGAAGCAGATGTATTTGATTCTGTTTGAGTCAGATCCTACCTTGTTGTCATGGTGACCGGTGTTGTGATGGAGTCCGTTGGCGGCGTGGTTGCTCTCGGTGCTCTGACCACTGCCGGCGCTCCGAGTGCTGCCAACGCTGCCGGTGCTGCCCACGCTGTTCCTGTCTCCGGCTGCAAAAATAAAAACGCAAAGATAAAAATCTCGACGTCATGAAACGTGACGTCGGCAGAGAGGATCGGCGTCGACAGCAACAAGCCTGCAGGAGCTCGGGTGTGACGACGGGATGCAGAGGAGCAGCTGCAGGTGAGTCCGACCAGGTAGCTCAGGTAGCCGGATTGTAGGGACAGGGGAGGGGGCGGCAGCGGAATTAAAGTCTTTTAACCGTCGTGTGGCCAAATTAGTTTCCTTTTTGTGTTCAAATGTTTTGATAAGCTTGGCTGTGTTAATGCATGTGGCATCAATTTGGGCAAAGGGGTGTATCTTTGGTGGGAGTTAAAAAAAATTCAACTTTAATACCCTTAAAACATCAATAATACACTGAGAATGCAAAAAGTTAACCAAAGGACCTTAAAGATAAAAATTTCCCCATCAAAACTGCTATTTCTGATCCCACTGCTATCATAGCATGAAAGAATATCTGATAGTTATGATCAGTGAAAGTTAAAATAATATTAATGGAGAATATTCTTATGACAATTTTTTGACATTTTTGTCTTTAAGGTCCAAAGTGTGAGTTTTTTGTTTTGTTTTGTTATTAATGGGCACTGCACAAAAACACAATAATGCATCAGACACAATGCTATTGCTAATCACTGACACATCCTAAGTTGTGATATAAAAAAGAAATCAGCTTCTTTTTTGTGTTTTTTCATATAAAACAACAGCGACATTATTTAAACAAGCTGGCACCAAAAGGTTTAAAATCTTGAGAATTAGAGAACATATGGTAGGTATGATCAGGACCAATGTTGGTTAAAGAAATCTAAAAAGATATCTAATAAAATACAAGTAATATTGTTTTTATGGCAATTTTTTGACTCCGACATTTTCGTCCTCTCCGGTCATGAATGTGATTTTTTTTTTAAATTAAAAATCCAACACGGAATAAAAAAAATAAAATACATTAAAATCAATGTTGTTGCTAATCATTGACACAACCCAGGATGTATAATATTAAATAAAATATATTGTTATTGATCTGCTTGATCGGTGCAAGAAACATGCACAAAAACTCTGAAAACCTCCTGCACAATAAAAGACTTCACAACGTGACGAAATACAGCGTGAGCTCATAATGCACAGTTTTCATCTATAAACCCTTTAGTCTATATCTGAAGGCCAGTTTTAAAAACTTGAGGCAAACAATGTGAAACGGAGGAAATCTGTTTTGTTTCAGCCTCATAAAACCTTTAAAGATACCAGACTGATTCGACTGAGTTTAAATGACATGAACAGGGATGAGCGGGTGTCGCCCTCTAGTGGCAGCAGTGAGGAGAACAGGGATTACTGGTAGCCAGACGCTCTGACCCCGAGTTGCCTGAAGCCTGAAGCAGATTGTTTGGACCCGACACACCAAGACGACTCCCTGATACCATGTGACCGGCTCAGTTGTTTTTATTCAGCTCCTGTAATATGTCCGCTTTGTTTACAGACACCTGCATGATGTCACCTTTTCACACCTGGAAGCTCAGAGTTTGTGTATTTCACTTTAGAAACATGAGGCAACAAGGTAAGGTGAAGTAGTGTAAGGTGACATGAGACAATGTGAAGCAACTTTTGAAAAAGTGAAGCAACTTGATAAAATATGAAGTGGCATGAGACAATGTCAGGTAACAAGATCATACAAAGTAATATGAGATAATATAAAGTGAATCTAGATAATATGAAATTGAGATAATGTGAAGCGACTTGAG